ACATGTTTAGTATGTTGATAGCTGATCTGATAAATCACTACCTTGTCTTCCTTCGTTGTAATCGAGAACAACTTGTGGCTTCATGATGCGTTCATTTAGTTTATTGGTTTTTCTGGTGTCCACCACAGTTACTGAATGAGATGGCTTTGTAGATATCATCAAAACGTCTCTTTTATTTTCCCACTTGATCAATTTTATGCCGCTTTTGCTTTGGCGCCCATAAACTTCACCACGCTTGAGCTTTTTCTGAACAACTTTAAGTCCTGATCCAGCACGATTACTTCTTAATGTTCCAACAAACGTTTCGCAAGAGAAATACTGGTAAAGAAGTTGTCAGCTACTACGGTTCGATAACATCCCGAAAGACTATCTAAGAAATTCATTACGACTGTTTGAGCATGTCCAAGACAAGCCGTTGGATCTTGCTCACCAGTATAGGGCACTTGATTCCATATGTATCCATTGGTAGCCGCTAACCTGTACATCTTTACGCCGTACTTGTCCGCTTTTCCAGAAATATATTGTTTGAAGAAAAGTCTCCATCGCTATGTTACCATAGTTTCTTCGATAGTAATAACTGAGCCAGGTATATATAGGGACGAAAATCTGGCTTTCAGTAAATCCGAGAGTGGTTTTAACTTGAACTGCCTATGCTGGTTTGAACTTTTAGTATCATTGTTTGAAAAGTGTCCAATTTGAGGAGTAATTCAAACTTCTCTGTCGAAATGGCATTTCGGATGATCTTGGACCCATACAACTGACTGCTGCTCCAGTAGTAGCTCAGTTTCGGCATGTGTACCAACCCCATCTCGATAATGATTTCAGAGAACTTGAGCATCTCTTCATCAGCGGTTGATTTCCATTGACGAAATTTTGACCGTCTACTAATCTCATGAGTTTGAAAGTACTGCTCCAAGTCTCAATTAGTTTCACGAACTATAAGGCCAATAATCTCGTTCGTGATGAAATGCCGATAGCAATCGATATGATCAGTTGTATTATCTTCTGAAGCAGAAGTTACTTCGTCGACGAGTCCATGATCCTCCAGGAATTTTGCATTCGATTCTAATTCTATTTCATTCCAGACATGTGAATCCACTTCATCGTCAGTAACTTCTTCGTTGAAACTTTCAGATTCAAGGTTCATTCTATCAAAATCATCATCCAAATAGCTCAGTTCACTGAGTGAGCTAGTGCTGTCTTCTGTATAGCTTTGATCGAACGACAGGTGAACATTTCCAAAATTTCGGTTACTTTTATTCATAATAGGACAGAGAGACAAGAACAAAAGAGAAAAGCTGGAAATTTTCTTCTCGAATGTTACGTGTGCTATATATAAGATGTAAAAGAACGAAAAAGTAACTTGAGGAATTTTTCATTTGATCACAAAAAAATGACTCATTATGTGATCATACAAAGAAGAGAACCATGAATAATCGGTAGAAGATAATGAAAAGGTCACTAAGTTCATTTATTATAAGTTAACTCTCGACAGAAATGAAAATCTGGAAGAAGTTTTCTAAGAAAACTGAATCATGTCGAATGTGTTAATCATTCACTCAGTAACAGAAACAGAGACACTTGACATTAGGTACATAGAAGCCCTAAGGCGCGATATTTTTTAATCGCTAATAGGCAATGTAGTCTTACAGTCTTAGAACAATATATTTCATGTAGCTTCTGTAGACTTCCCCGGTTATGACCTAATCTCTTGTAGCCTTTCTCCCTTAAAGCCTTACCCCTCTCTGACCTCACCCCCTTATAGGCTTACTGCCTTATAAACTTACCGTATTATAGTCTTATCCCTATATAGTCTTACCCCCTTACTGCCTTTCTCTCTTAACGCCCCCCGCCGACAAAACAGCATCTCTGAGATCGAACGGGCTAATTAACTGAAACTTTGTACAAATTTTGGGTGGATTGTCATGCATAAAAAAATTTCAATCCTAATCTCTTTCTTAGGTGGAGCGAGGCCAATTGTAGTAGTCGTTTTTATCTCTTCGGTATCTTTAAGGCCATCTAAGTATCGTAAGAGATACAGCCGATTATCTGTTTTCATTCTGAGGAGGACTTCTGGGGCTAGCGACTCTCGTCGGTCTTTATTTTGATTTTCTTCTTTCTCATAAATTTTTTATCTATGTCTGCTGTGATGACCTCAGAAAACACCCAAATTTCTAGGAAAAAAATAGCATGGTTTTTCTATTTAAGCTCTTTTTAACAAAAAGACTACTCGAGTCTCTAGTTCTGAGTAAGAGCTTTCAAACAAAAAAATATTTGGCTTTATCTCTTCCTGTAAAAAAATGGTGCTGGAGATACGTCATTGAACCCATATTCTGAGAAAAAGCAAAACACGATTTTCAGTTTTTTATAAAAACGGCTTGTTTTCCGAATAGAGGCGGACAAAAATCTTCCAAAGTTTTTGGGAAAAAGGTGCCGAATAAAAGTTTTGTCGCTTATCAATGAGCAGATGACGAGCTCTTCATGCCATGAATTTATCTCAGTCTCGATTATTCTGAAAAAAAGTAATTTTTTTGAGGGGTCTTAAAACCTTACTCCTCCTCCTTCCATTGCCATCTTGCCTTATAGCTTTTTTCCTTTGAAGCCTTATCTCTTATAGGCTTACCTCTTGATAGCCTTACTCTTTGCTTGCCTTGCCTTCTCATAGCCGTATCCACTTATTGCCTTACCGCCTTATATGGTCCTACCCTTATAGGGCCGTAAACGTTTGACCTTTGACTCAGTACAGACAGACACGCAGACGAACACTGAAAATTATACATATAGATGGTTAACCTCATTAAAAAAATATAACTGTTATGTAGTAAGGAAAATAGTGTGTGAAGCACCTTGTAAGTAACATTCAGTTGTCATCTGCGTGTCCTCTCCTTTCCGGACAAAAAATTGCAGTTCAAAATCTGTTTTAGTCAATTCCAGTTGTTTTTAAATTTAATCTATTCAAGTTGAAAACAATCTTGAGTCTCATACGGAAAAAAGTTTATTTTTCGGATCCATTTTGCATCATGTAAGACATTGTATTAAAAAAACAAAATGCACCACAAGTTGCAGCGTGAAAATCTCTACAACCTACAAAAGATAGTTTATTCTATAATTACACTTTTTGTTTAGAAAATGGACGAAATTTTGAGCCACTAAGTTTTGACACTTCGAAAAATCTCTTGGAGTCTCATGAAGTCTTTCGAAGTCTCCTGAAGTCTCCTGAAGTCACAAGGAGTCTTTTGAAATCTTTGAGCTGCAGTTTTTAATATTTACATCTCATGCAACTGAAGTCTTCTGAAACCTGATGAAGTCTCTTGAAACCTCAGGAAGTCATATGAAATCTGATGAAGTCTGACTAAATCTCGTGAAGTCACGTGAATTCTCATGGAGTCTCATGAAGTCTCATGAAATTCCACGGAGTCTCGTGAAGTCTGACGAAGTCTTGTGAAGTCACATGAAGTCTCATGAAGTTTTTTGAAGACTTCTGACATCTTTTAAAAAGTTGGAGTCTTTTCACGTCTTTTGAAGTCTTGAAGTCCGCTGCTTCCTTCTTGCAATAAACCATGTATGTTTCTGTATCAATTTTGTGTATCAGATCACTTTTCATTTTTCTTTTGATTTCACTGCCTTGATTTCATTGATAATCACCTATATATTCATGTTTAGGTCTGAAAATATAACATACAGCACATGTTTGTATTTCATACCTGCTTACTAAATCTCTTTGTGACATAAGACGTTCAAAATCCTTTATTAATTCAATTTTTTTACTCAAAGGAGAATCTGTGGGAAGCAACCGATCTCAAGACTTCAAAAGAGTTCACGCATAGATAGTTCAAATTTTCATCAGAGTTCTAGTTACTTCATAAGACTTCACACGATTTCAGCAGACTTCATGGGACTTCTAAAGATTTAACTCGACTTCACAAGACGTCAAGACACTTCATCAGACTTCACATGACTTCAGGGAACTTCAGCATAACGTTTGACGCAAAAGTAATGGAACGATCATCAATGCCTATTTCTTTTCAATCCATGGGTGGTGAAGGAAAATCTTTTTTGTTAGCAGATAAAGAGTTTTTGCCTCTTTCAAGCAATAAATAACCTATTTTCATCACAGGCTCATAAACGAAACGATATTTTTGAAAACAAATGAGATATTTGTAATCAGCGCACTTAGTTCTATTGAATTATAAAGACTGGTAATAGAGCAGTGACAAAACAGTTTTTCGATGCCCGAGGAGTCCATAGATGTGAAAAGTTGGGTTGTGGCAAAAATAGAAAAAAAAATTATCAAAAATATTCAGAACTCAATGCTGACTCTCAAAGCAATTAAATTGGATTCATATTTAACGAAGCCTTCAGTCCATAATTTGACGCAAGTTTTGACATATTAGAAAATGATTAATGTGTGATAATGAACTAATAAATCAATAATCATGAACTATATGCTTTACTTTATCTTATTTCACTTCAGCTTACTCGTTCGGTAAAGTTAATGATGCTTCACTTGAGTTCCCTTTACTTTACTTTACTTTATTAATGAAAATAAAGTTTAAGCGCCACTCCTATTCTCAAAGTACATTTGAAACCGTAAATTTAGGGGCTTTGCCGTGAAAGGGTTAAAAAACACTTCTCGTAAATAAGCTTATGCGTACGCAAGTACTCTTCTGTAATAAGTCTGATAAAACGGTCCTCTACATGGTTTAAAAATACTTTTGTAAAGTGTTCTGAAAAACAAAGATTTTCGCACTTGTTTCGATTTCTTGAAGAAGAAGAATTGTTTTTCTCTTGTGGTGTCTACCGGAACAACAACAATTTGCAAAGAGATTTCGTTCGATACAGAAAATCTCTCGAAGAACGACCACAATGACGATTACTCTGAATTGTTTTTTATTGTAGTGATTCCTAATATTCCTGTCAACGCCCGATGGTCACCGAATGGAGTGACTGTTGCTGGAGGTCATGGATTCGGCAATGCCACGAATCAATTGTACTCTCCTATGGATCTCTTCGTTGATGATAATCAAACGGTGATCATCGCTGACTACGAAAACCAACGTATCATCCAATGGCGCATGAATGATACGAATGGACAAATTGTTGCTGGTGGCCATGGCAGTGGAAATCTATTAGAACAATTGACTAATCCAGTCCAAGTGTTTTTAGAGAAAGATATCAATAGTCTCATCATATGTGAATGGGGTAATCGACGGGTCGTACGATGGTCTCGTAGTAGTGCCACAACTCAAGGTGAACTCCTCATCAATAACGTCCAATGTCGAGGATTAACCATGGATGATCAGAGAAATTTGTACATTTCTGAATATCAAAAACATGAAGTAAGACGATACCAAGTAGAACAGAAGACTTTGACCGTTGTGGCTGGTGGCAATGGCCCCGGTGCTGGTCTCAATCAACTGAACTCGCCGAGATATCTCTTTGTCGATCGACAACAAAGTATATATGTGTCAGACACTGACAATGATCGTGTAATGAAATGGAGTAAAGGTGCAAAAGAAGGAATTGTCGTCGCTGGAGGAAAAGGCCAAGGAGCTTCTCTGACGCAATTGTCACGTCCTCGGGGACTGTTCATCGATACATATGGTACCGTCTATGTTGTAGATTCGCTCAATCATCGTGTGGTGCGTTGGGTTCAAGGTGCGAAACAAGGCACTGTCATTGTGGGTGGGAATGGTACAGGAGAAGGAGCAAATCAGTTGAGTTATCCCGAAGGTCTGTCCTTCGATCATCATGGCAATCTCTATGTTGCGGATCAATTCAATCATCGTGTTCAACTCTTCACAATCGAATGAGTTTGATGAGCGATGATGAATTTTATGTCTCGTTCGCTTTTCTATCACTCTCCAATAAAACGTGATTTAATAGAAAAAAAGCTTCATCATAACTGTACTCGTGTACATGCACGCAACTGAAATCATGAAGGTGGAGCCAGAGCGGACATAACGCTCATGCACACGCGAAACAAACTTTTATCATCTACATAACTTCATTGAGGGATGCGCCCATGAGTCTGTGAGTCCCGGTCTTGTGTCGCGAATACCAAGAGGAACGCCAATCGAGGATTTAGAGCCTGCTCGGAAGATCTGCAAGATAACAGGGGCCTAGCATCCACGAATATGATTCACTCCTCTCTCACTGCCTTAATATTCCCCTGCTCTCTACCTCACAGAGAAAAAGAAATAATTACTCACTCTCTTCAATGCTGAAGGATGGAAGAAAAGACAAAAATTAGTGAATTG